CTGGATTGGTATCTGTAAACAGAAAATCAGATCTTCAGAAAGCAACTATTTGGCACTTACTGCATGCCAGCTCTGTGCTAGGCCCCACGGATGGAAGACTAAACTCAAACAGCCCTCGTGCCCTCCAGGAGTCTCCATGCCACTAATAATAAAAAATCCAATTTTCAGCTTACTTATATAACCTTTCCCTATGAGCTAACTCACAAATAATGAATCAAAAGTATTTACAATGTAAAAAGTAAATTACATAGCTAGTACTGGAAGGAACAGACCTTAGAGGCTATTTTAAACAATTCCTCATCTTACAGATGAGGAAACAGAGCATCATGGTTGTGAAATGACTTGCCCAGGGTCACTTCAGGAACAGAAAGCATCCAAGGGAGTTTTGAACCCAGGAAGTCTGACTCCCGGACAGGGCTCTTTCCACTGAACCCCTCCCCACCTTCCCCCAACCCAACACCTGGACTGAACATTGCTTGATATGAAAACTTTTCCCACCATTACAGTACTACTATCCTTTGGCATTCATTCTCTTTGGATATTTTTCCTTTTCCTTTTTCCTTTTTTTTGGGGGTGGGGTTATACAGTAGGGTTAAGTGACTTGCCCAGGGTCACACAGCTAGTAAGTGTTATGTGTCTGAGGCCGGATTTGAACTCAGGTCGTCCTGAGTCCAGGACCAGAGCTCTATCCACTGCACCACCTAGCTGCCCCTCTTTGGACATTTTTCATAAAAGGTGCACATCCTTGACCCTTTCTACCTTCCTCCTAACACATACATTTTATGTGTGTATAGACTTATATAGTAAAGAAATGCTGGATTTGGCACCCTGAAGATCTGGGATCGAGTCCTCCCTCAATCTTACTAGCTGGATGACCCCTCTGAGCCTCAGTTTTCTCATCTGTAAAATGAGGGGCTCGGACTCAAGGGCCTTACAGGTGCCCTCTTGGTCCAAATCCATGACCTGCATGACCTTGGGCAAGATCAATAACCTCTCTGGTCCTCAGTTGTGGCATGCACAAAATAAGGCAGTTGGATCTAAGGGTCTTCAAGTCCTTTCCAGCTCTAAATCTACAATCTACATAACCATTTCCTCTTCCTCAGCCTCAGTCTCCCCATTTGTAGATGATCTCTGAGTCCCTGCTCTAAATCTACGATTCCATGACCTGTGATCCTAAATAGCCTTGAAATCTGGACAAAGGTGACATTCAAGCAAGCTGTGAGGAATGTGACCTCATCCGTTCTCTGTTACACAGGCTCGAACTGTCTCAGAGCCGAGGGGCACTGGGCAAGACCAATACAAAGACAAGATGAGAAAAGTCAAACTGGCCAGGGGATGTTTCCAAGGGCCACTAAGTGATGTGCCGCCTTTCCCCAGCAAGATGGTGGCAGGGCATCAGGGCTGCCACTGACAACATAGGTGGGTGACTGGCACTGCCAGTCTGGCTGACCAACCACCCAGCCCAACCCTGAGCACTCTGGACATTTCTAGACCTTAAGGGGTTCCCACAGCTCCACATTTTTTCCAATTCAATTCCATTTGCCCATCCTTTTCATGGCGCCTCCCGCATCCCTTCTCATGCATATCCCTGTGGATAACGCAAGGCAGTTCACTGACACCCACCATTACCCTTTGAGTCACCAGCAATTCTGCTTCTTCTCAGATCATCAGGTTCAATGAATCACAGCCATTCAGCATTACCAAGAGAATGCAGGCCTTAAATAGATACGTTTTTGTGACATCAAGTGGCAAAGAATCATTCAAGAACCACCTGATTTCCCAAAGAAGACCCAGCCTGTCATGCTTCTCTGGGTCATTAATGGTCACAGTGTTTTGTCCACTGATAGGACATATCCAAGAGACACACACCACTGAACTAACACAACAGAATTCCCACTCAACTCCACATCCAACTCTGGGAACACGCATTCTTTGTCCATTCAGCTTTTCCCTTGTGGAATATTAGGCCAGTCTCTTTTGTGACTCTGGTTCTCATGAAGGCCCTGCTATATTCCCAAGTCCTAGAATTCCAGAGTCGGAAGACATCTCATTGGTCTACTCCAGCCCATACCAAAGAGAGTCCCTACTACAACACACCCAAAACAAGTGGTCATGCAGTCTTGGCTTGAAGCCCTCCCATGACGGGGAGACCCACTTCCTCCAAAAGCACCTCATTCCACTTTTCATATTCAGTCATTTTTCAATCATGCCCCACTGTTTGTGTCCCTATTTGGGATTTTCTTGGCAGAGAGACTGGAGTGGTTGGCCATTTCCCTCTCTAGCTCATTTTACAGGTAACGAAACTGTGGCAAACTGGGTGAAGTGACTTGTACAGGGTCACACAACTAGTAAGTGTCTGAGTCCAGATTTGAACTTAGGAAGATGATTCTTCCTGACTCCAGGCCCAGCACTCTTTCCTCAATGGCACCACCTAGCTGCCCCATTCCACTTCTGGATCACTCTAATAGTTAGGAAGTCTTCCCTGACATCATGCTAAATCTCTGCAACTTCCACCCACTGTTCCAAAGTTGTGGCCTCTGGGGCTGAATAGCACATCTCTAAGGCCCCTGCACAAGACACCTCTTCAGGCTTACTTTAAGACACTTCGCTCTGGAAGCGGCAGTCAGATCAAGGACATCACTCTTGGAAAGGGCGAGTCAATTGATTGCCTTCTCACTCAAATCATTCCCTCTTCATTCTCTGTCCAAAGTACTTCTCCCTGGCTACCACTCCCCAATCAGTGGTATTCTCTTCCCCTATTAGAATATATTTTTGCAGAGAAAAACCCCAAAAGGTCAGAAACAACTAAACAACACCACCATTACTGGGGCAGCTAGGAGGCGCAGTGTATAGAGTGTTGCATAGAATGAACTCTTCCTGAGTTCAAATCTGACCTCAGACATTTACTAGCTGTGTGACCCTGGGCAAGTCACTTCACCCTGTTTGTCCCAGTTTCCTCATTCGTAAAACGAGCTGCAGAAAGAAATGACAAATCACTCCAGTATCTTTGCCAAGAAAACCCCAAATGGGGTCCCCAGCAGTCAGACATGACTAAACAATTAATCAGCAACATTAGAATACAAGCTCCTTGAGGGCAGAGACTGCCCTCTTGCTTGTTGGCTCAGAGCCTGACCCACAGTTGGCATTTAATAAGTGCTTTTTCATTCATTCATTCAGCTATCATGTGCTCTGAAGAATTAACTCAACACATTTCCCCTTCAACTGCATGTCAGGATCTGGGCAACACACATTTTTCATCTACTTGTTTTTCTGAGTGTGGACTACCATGCCAATTTCTTTTTGAGTGACTGCAGATCTCATAAAGGACAGCTAACACCCCCGAGCCTTCTCTTTGCTTCTTCTTTGAACCAATCATATGGCAAAGTCTCAAAGTCATTCCCCATTTTAGTTTTGGGGGACCTTCTTCTTCCAACCTTCCAGGGCATTATACAACCAGGATGATGCCATCCCCAAATATCTAGAAATGGGTATGTTCTTTTTCTCCTAATGAGCTATCCGTTTAAAAAAAAATGTCCATGGGAGTGTTAAATAAAATGCAAACTAACAGAGATAACCCAGATATCCAATAAGGAAATAGTCAAAGAAATTACGAGACATTCACATAATAGAATACTGTAATGCCTAGAAATATCTTTATGAAATAACGCAAAGCAAAAATGACTGACCCATCATGACCATTGCCATCATGCTTTTAGATCTGGGAAACCCTTCACATACACTATCTCATTTGATCCCCCCAACAATCCCGGGAGGTGGGTGCCAACGATTATCTGTATTTCATGGATGAGCAAACTGAACCAGGCAGAGGTAACTTGCCTACAAGCATTTATGAAGCACTTACTATATGCCAGGCTCTATGCTAAGCCAAGCTTGGGGAGACAGAAAGATAGTCACACAGGCCGCTAAATGTCTGAGGCTGAATTTGAACTCAGATTCTTCAGACTCCTGGTGCAGCTCTCTCTCCACTGCATCCTCTAGTGGCTTAGGTGTTGACAGCACACATTAACTCATATTATATAAGGGTAAAAGCAAATGAGAATGAATAGCTAAGTAAAGAATTCGGATGGGGAATGCGTAGGAAAGAGTAAGAAGTGATGATACTTCAATGAAATTAAATTGATTTAAATGGATGGGTACTAAGCAAGTTTAGGTTGGTTGTACTGATGTATTAGTACTAATGTACTGATGCATAAACTATTTTAATAAAACATGTTGCTTTTATGAGGGGGAAAAAAATCATGGTGCCCCTAGAGGCCACATATTGTAGTGAAACCAAACCAAATGGAACAGCCCACGGCAGTGGGGTGGGGTGGGTGAAAGAAGCCAGGAGGGCAGAGGCGAGGCCAGCTGCGGCTGCCCGGCCCTCCCAACCACCCAGGGCAGAGGGGGCCCAATGGAGATTTCTCATCATGCCACTCACTAACCAATCAAAAGGCAGAGGATCCCAAGTCCAGGAACCAAAACAAGAGTAAGCAGGATGGGAAGAAGAGCGATTGTGCTGAAAACGCAATCTGTATTCACTGTCCGTCTGGAGACTTCAATTTTCCACTTTTTCACAAGGTCACAGAATACTTATCAACAATAAGGGGTGACATTTCTATAGAGTTTTCCGTCTGGCAAAGCATTTGACAAACATTATCTCATTTGAGACTCACAACGCCCCCGGGAGGGAGATAATGCTGGGACTATTAACCCGTGTTTTTTAGAGGAGGAAACTGAGATGCAGGGAATGTAAGTGACTTGCCCAGGGTCACACGGCTAGAAAGCATCAGGGTTGCAATTTGAACACCATTCCTGGAGAACATTCTACTTCCACAACATCATGCCACCTGACATCTTTTATAACTAGACCAGATTTACCCCGAGACAGCCACACCAACTTTTGGTATCAAGCACATCCCTTTAAAGCCATTCAATTCAACTCTCCCCCAAAGTTCAATGCCCTCCATCAAAGTGCTAGGAAGTTTTCGAGTACTCACTGTCTTCTCCCGGGCAGGGCATTCCTGGCTTCTCTGGGATGCTCGGAAAAACTGAACACAGACAAAGAAAAAGGAGTTAGTGCCTTGAGGAGACGAGCCCTCCCTCTGAATGATCTGCACGCAATTTGAATGCTCAAGTATTTCTAAAGAATGTTCTGATGAGAAACAAGTCGCTCTAGAAAAGCTTTGAAAGTGAAATGCTGGATAACCTGCGCACATCTTACGCACACGTGCCCTAAATTACATGGTTAAAGGTCTCAAAAACACAGTAAGACAGGACTTAAGGGAGGGAAGAAGTAACAAGCAACTGGGTTACAAAAGATCAAGATACAGTATTCTAGAATCTATCCAGAGATTCCAGAATTAATACTTAAAATGTTCATAAATTCATTTATTTAAAAAGCATTTGATAAAATTCTTTTTTTCCAAATCATCTCCATCATCTGGGATAAATTTGCCATTTGCTTACATAACACCCTTAAAATGGATTATTCAAATACCCCCCAAGGAATCTGTGATCTCTTCCAACCCACCCATGCCTGCCCATCTCTGTGTGAATCTTCTGTCATGTCTTCTCATAAATCAGACAGATTACTCACTCATCAAAAAAAAAAAAAAGAATTTTTTTTTTACAAAGTAGAAGATTCAGGACTCTGAGATGTTAGAATCCCTTCTGGCTTCTCTTTCCCACTTCAGAGGTCCAAAGGGGAAATGGCATGATCAGGGAGTCAGAAATACAAAATATCTTGGCCACTGCCACACTCTTCTTCACAGAGGCCACAGGGATGGCTTGTGAAGCCGAGAGAATTCTGGAACACAGGCTGAGAGTCAGGGATAAAAAGGATAAATTTGAAGACAACAGTCCTATGCTTTGCATCACCAGAATCCACAACCCATCTCCAAACCTGAAAAGCTAAGAGGATGTGTAAACTAAAGAAATCTAAGTATCTCTATCACTCAGTCAGTCAACAAGCATTTATTATGTACCTACTGTGTGCCAGGTACTATGTTAGGTACTAGGGGTATAGTCCCTACCCTTGAGGAGCTCACACTGCGATGGAGGAGACAGTAAGCGAACAGCTACGTGCCAACATGCTGTATACAGGATAAACGGGAAGCAATCAATGGACATGAAGGCACTAGAATGAAGCAGGACCAAGAAATGCTTCCTGTGGAAGGTGGGATTTTAGCTGGGACTTGAAGGAAGCCGGGAGGTAGAGAATGAGGGGGGGAGAGCATTGCAGGCTTTGGAGGTGGCCAAAGAAAACACCCGAAGCCAAGAGATGGAGTCTCTTGTCTGAGGACCAACCAGGAGGCCAATGGCACTGGACCAAAGAATGCACTGGGGAGGGGGGAGGAGGGACAAAAAGGTGGAAAGAGGAAGGCTTGGTGATGAAGGGTTTTAGACACCAAAGACAAGATGTTTCTGATTGATCTTGGAGACAACAGGAAGCCACCAGAGTTTATTGAATGGGGGGGGGGTGACATGATCAGATTTGTGCTTTAGGAAAAGCACTTTAGCAGGTGAATTGTAGATGAATTGGAGAAGGTACAGATTTGAGGCAGGCAGACCCAGCAGCAGCCTACTGCAATAATGCAAGAGTGAAGTGTCCAGGGGCTGCACTGGAAGGAGGGGGAGAGGCAGTATCAGAGGAAAGAAGGCAGCATATTAGAAAGATGCTTCAGAGGTGAAATCAACAGACTTAAGCAATAGATTGGTTATGGGGTGGGGGGGTAGAGAGTGAGGAATCCAGGATGAGTCCCAGGTTGTAAGTCCAAAGGACTGGGAAGATGGTGTTGACCTCTAAAGTAATAAGGAAGGTGGTAACAGGATGTAGAGGGGAATAGAGTTCAGTCTTGGACATGTTGGGTTTAAGATGTCAACTGGACATCATAGGCAGTAGAAGACACAAGACTAGAGGTCAGTAGAGGTTAGGGCTGAATAAATCAGTTTGTAAATCATTAGCATAGAGACAGTCATTGAATCCGTGGGAAATAATGAAATTGCCAAGTGAAAGAGTACAGAAGGAGAAGTGGGCCCAGGACTGACAACTTTGTGGGATGCTCAGAGTTGGCAGGTATGACTTGGATGAAGATCCATTAGGGGAGACTGAGAAGGAGCGGTCTGATGGGGAGAAGGAGAACCAGGAGAGAGGAATGTCCTGAAACCCTAAGGAGATGAGAGTAGCAAGGAGAAGAGGGTGATCACCAGTGTCAATGGCGTCATAAGGGTCAAGGGGGATGAGGACTGAGAAAGGTTATTAGATGTGGCAATGATGAGATCACTGGTAACTTTGGAGAGAGGAGTTTGGGTGGAATAATGAGGTCAGAAGTCTACACTGTAGAGAGTTAAGAAGAGAGTGAAAAGAGGAAGTAAAGGCACCCAGTGTAGATGGTCTTCCCAAAGAAGGCAGCAGAGATATAGGATGATATAGTGAGTGGAACATAGCAGGTGAGGGTTGTTTGGGGGCTTTTTTCAGGACTTGGGAGACATGGTTATGTTTATAGGCAGCAGACTGGCAGGCAGAGATTGAAGATAAATGGAGATGCCAGAGGAGCAGTCTGCTGGAGAACACAGGATGCAAGGGAGGTAGAGGGGCTGGCCTTCATAAGGAGAAGGGGTATGGGACAGAGGGCAAGGAGGAAATAGTGGAAGAAGGCATACAAGTGATTTTGGATGGGAAGGGAGAAGAGGGAGCTCACGGCAAATGGCCTCGATTTTTTTTTTAGTAAAATATGAGACAAGCTTCTTAGGTTTATTCATTGGGTTCAGTCATTTCAGTTGTGTCCAACTCTCCGAGACCCCATTTGGGTAACTTGGCAAAGATATTAGAGTGGTTTGTCATTTCCTTCTCAAGCTCATTTGACAGATGAGGAAACTGGGGCAAACAGGATTAAGTGCCTAGCCCAGGGTCACACGACTACTAAGTGTCTGAGGCCAGATTTGAACTCAGGTCTTCCTGACTACCCACTGGGCCACCTAGCTGGGAGGTTTGAGAAGGGATAAAAAGGTTTAGAAGAACCGCTGTGGAGAGTGGGATAGTGAGTTGATAAGGGAAGTACAGCAGGATTGCCCAGCTGCAGAGAGGGATCAGCAGAGGTTATATGATATGAATCCCTAATGGATCCTGGTAGAACAGTTTCATGATGTTCTCCACCTTTGGTGAACAGCGTGTGTGTAAGAAGGAAGGCAGTGGACAGTGGGAGTAAACCAAGGCTGAGGCACGGCAAGACACAATGGGCAACATGATAAGGTGGCTAGGGACTCAAGAGAAGAGGAAAATGTTGAGTTCAACTGGCACCAAGGGGTCAACATCAGGAAAGAAGAGAGAGTGGCTAGTGCAGAGGCAATAACCTTGGAAGAGGCGAGGGAGTCGAGGAATCGGAGACCACAGCGGGGACAAGGAACCGGGTTAGGGAAGAGAAGGCAGAAGGAGAAGTGGAAAGCCAAATAGATTTAGTCAGACAGGGAATTTCCAAGTTCATGGACATGGAGGGGGATATTTTTAGGTGATGGTAAGATCAAGGGTACGACCATCTTTGTGTGTGGCTGACTTGGGCAGAGGAGTAAGGTCATGAAAAGTAAGTAGGTTGAGGAACTGAGAGGTTAGGGTATCCAAAGGAGTCTCAATATGTAGGCTGAAATTCCCTAGTATGAGAGCAGGGTCTGGGGAAGGGAGAAAAGCTGAGCCAAGTACTGAACTCATTGCAGAAGGAAGGGGAGCATACAGAAGGTTTGCAGGCAACATCTATCAGAATTTTGACTGAATGGCAGAGTGGATTGCATGAACCTCAAAAGGACGAGAAGCAACCAAGTGATGGTGGTGGAAGGAGAACGGGGAAGTGGCAATGGGGAGGAAGGAGTATTCCAAGTCCCCTGCCTCAACCAGTGAATGCAGTGGAATGAAAGTGCAGCCACTGCTGGAAAGGGTGGCCAAGGAGGCTGTGTCATCAGGTCTCAGTGAGAGCCACAAAATGGAAGTAATGGGAAAGGAAGAGACTAAAGATGAAAGCAAGTTTGTTACCTACGGAGCAGGTATTCCCGAGGAAAGTGTCATGGGGTGAGTAGCATTTGACTGGGACTTTGGGGGTGGGGTGGATTGAGGAGAATAGGAAGAAGGAATCTATCTGGTAGTGGGAGATGGGGCAGCTAGGTGGTGCAGGCCTGGAGTCAGGAAGACCTAAATTCAAATCCGGCCTCAGACACTTACTAGATGTGTGACCCTGGGCAAGTCACTTCACCCTGTTTGCCTCAGTTTCCTCATCTTAAAATGAGCTGGAGGAGGAAATGGCAAACCCCTCCAGTATCTCTGCCTAGAAAACCCCATATTGGGTCATGCAGAGTCAGACACGACTGAACAAGATGGGGAATGGGTTTAGACGATGAACTACAGGGGTTCAGAAACGCTGGGATATGGAGAGTGTGACCGGGGGGAATCTGTTCATCGTTAAGTGAGACATTTAGAGAGATTTTCAAAGGATGGAAATAAGAACAATGAAGTTAGGGGGAAAATTAATATTCCTCAAGGAGAAAATATGTCCTTACACTAACTGTCCCCAATAGTTAATGATCAAGTTAACAGCAGTTCAGAGCCATGGAGAATGTAAGCTCCCTGAGGGCAGAGTCTGTCTCTCTTCTGTTTGCATCCTCCACGCCTCGCACAGTGCTTGGAGTACAATTAGACTAGGCTGAGCTTAGATTCGTCAGTTTTGAGAAGAAGTAGAAAAGTGATGATGCTATAAGAAGCATCTGTAGATACTCCCCACCCCCTAAGAGTTGTGAGAAGGGCCACTGGGGGCAAGAGCGCTCATTAGCTTCTCCACGCTGGGAAGCGTAATTGGACAGAATAAGTAGCGGGATAATATATCTGACCCGAAGAACAAACGACCCGCCCTGGCCAGCACTTAGAACCTACACAATTATTTCCAGCGGCCAAGGGTTAGCCCGAGTCAAAGAGACAAGCCCCAGTTAGATCATTCTCCAAGGAAAGCCCTGTGAAGAGAGGCCAGGAAGCTTCATTTCCAGCTACTTGCCGTGAATGATGAGTCCTTCATCTCTGTGTTGACAGTACAGGCGAAAAGCTTCTTCCAGTTCCATCGGAGAAGATATGGTGCACGGATCACCTAATGAAATGGAAAAACGAGGCAAGAGACACCACGTAAACTCGGCGGGATATTCGATACGGCTCTTACCAACTTGTTTGATGCTATCAGAATCCAAGAATCCCAGAGAGGGAAGGAGTTTTTGGAAGCCACCTGGCCCAACCCTTCCGTGAGCAAGAATCCCTCCATGCCATACCCACATGAGGTCTTCCGGCCTCTGCTCAGAGCCCTTCACGGAGAGGAAACTCCCCACCTCTCGAGGCGGCCCATTCCACTTATGGGTAGCTCTCATGGTTACCAAGTTAGTGGCATCAACCCCCTAGCTGTCTCTTGGCAATCTGTAAGCCTTGTTCCTGGTTCTGCTCCCACGGGGCCCAAACACTACAAGTTTAACCTCTATTTCACAGGACAACCCTTCAAATATTCAAGCCTCCTCTAAGTCTTTCTTCAGGATGAATATCCCTACTTCCTTCAGCAGAGAAAAGGAGGGACCTGAGTTCAAATCCAGCCTCAGACACCTGACACTTACCAGCAGTGTGATCCTGGGCAAGTCACTTAACCCCAACTGCCTCACCAAAAAGAAAAAAAAAAGGAGGAATGATGAAGTGGACAGACAGCAGGAACTGGAGTCAGGAAGGACTGGGTTCAAACCACACCTCAGAAACTTACTAGCTGTGTGATCTTGGCCAAGTCACTCAACCTCTCTGGGCCTTAGTTTTCTCACCTATAAAATGATGGGGTTAGAATCAATGTCAATTCCTGCTCTAAAGTTTAGTTCCTATGATCTTGAGACACGTCACCATCCCGGCTGACATCCGACTTACCAACATCCTTCCTAAAAAGCAGTGCCCAGACCTGAACACACTACTCCGTACGGGTGGGGTGGTTTTAAAGGAAAGCCCAATGGCAGTTTGAGGTCTAGGCATGTCCCGGTCACCCCCCCGACACAATGAAAAGCCAGATTCCATTTTAAGAGTCAGCAGGGCTCGAGGACTGCCTAGGCTTCAGAGCTGGGAGGGACCTCTGAGGTCGATGCCCACGTTTTACAGAGGAGGGCACGCGCCCAGAGCGAGGAAGGCATTTGCCCAAGGTCCACATAGCTGGCAGAGGAAGGATTCAAACCTGGGTCCTCTGATTCCAAATTCAGTGCTCCTACCCTACCATGGTGCCTTCTCATTCTAAATTCTACAATCCAATGACCCAACCTTGAGGAAATGAAAACAATGTTTTAAAAGTACCTTTTTTTTTTGGAGAGGAGAATCTAAGAATGAATTTTAAAAGTGGGGGGAAGGAAGTAGCCCACATGCACAGAGCCTGAACCAGAGGTGGGGAACCTGCTGCCTCGAGACCACACGTGGTCCTCTAGGTCCTCAAGTGCAGCCCTTTGACTGAATCCAAACTTCACAGAACAAATCCCCTTAATAAAAGGATTTGTTCTGTAAAACTTGGACTCGGTCAAAAGTCGCACCCACGGACCTCGAAGGCCACACGTGGCTTCAAGGTGTCAGGTTCCCCACCCCTGGTCTGGACCAGTGTTCATCCTGGTAGAAGACTCCTGCTACCCAAAAAGACTGACTGGCTGACTCATATGTCAGGGAGTTGCCTGGAACTCTGGGATTTTAGATTATTTATCCAGTTTTGGATGGCCAGACCTCAGGGTCACGTCTCAAAAGCAGGTCTTCCTGACTCCAAGACCAGCCCTCTACCGACTAAGACACTGCCTCCCAGTAGGAAGTGGCTGCCCCCTAATCACTGAATCCCAAGAAGAGCAAGGTCAGAGCAAAAAGGTTTGGGTCTATCGTTTACAGAACTATCTGACGGCCTTCACTTTGCAGGTACAGCCGTGAAAAGGACACCCAAAGTGTTTCTTCCGCCTCCTGGGATTACTTCGGGAAAAAGGCAAAGGAATGTTTTAGTCTTCAGTCTGATTCAGCTCTATCCTGGCTAAGGCCAGCAGAGGGAGCCCCAAAAGAGGAATCCCACCTGGCCGGGAATGAGTGGAGGAATCAACAGACCCTAGAGAAGAACATGTGAAGAATGCGGATATCGCGGAGCAAAAGGAACACCAAACATTGACAAACAAGGGCCGGGGAAAGGAAGTGTCTGCGCGCCCAGCGACAGTGACCGAGAACAAGAGACAGTCTAGAGAGAAGCGAGAGGACTGTGGAGAGCGGCCTGAGCTCAAGGGCTGCCTCTAATGCGCGCAGGCTCTGTGTGCCCGGGACACTGTGACGTGCAGCCAAGGATGGGTAGAGGGAGGCGCGGGAGGGAGGCAAGGGAGGGCGACGCAGAGAGGGAGAGAGAGGGAGAGAGAGAGGGAGAGAGAGAGAGGGAGAGAGAAAAGGAGGAGGAAGAAGGAAAAGGCAGAGGGAGCAAAGAGGGAAGGGAAGGAAGGAAAAAAGAAGAGGGGGGAAAGAGAGAAGGAGGAGGAGGGAGGAAAAGACGGAGGGAGTGAGGGGAAAGGAGAGAACAGAGGGAGGAAGAAAGAGTGGGGAAGGGAGAAGAAAAGGAGGAAGGAAAAAGGAAAGAAAGAAGAGCAAGGGAGGGGGAAGAGAAACAACCTTTTAATTCAATTTAATTCAAAACAAGTTTTAATTCAAATCCCCCAACAACCATCTCAGCATGTCCCTCCTCCACCTCCCCCCTGTACCCCTACCCCAACAGTCCTTACACATTAAAAAATGCAGATATTCCCTGTTTCGAGAGATCATTGAATTTACAGCTAGAAAGGGGCTTAGAGGTCATCCAGTCCAACCCCCAAACCTTACAGATAAGAAAAATAAGGTCCCAACATATGACTTGTCAAAGGTCACACAGTCATTAAGGCAGTCACGGAAACAAAGACTCTCTGACCCCAGAGGCCATCCAGGTCAACTGAGACCAGAACAAAAATCCTTCAACAACAGTCTCCATCCATTCATTCATTCTTCAACAGGCATTTATACTAAGTTGTATCTAGTATAAGCCAGCACTGGGCTAGGGATGCACATTAAAAACAAAAGAAAATGCTACAGGCCCTGAAGGAGCTTACATTCCCCTGGGCTGGGATGGATGGAGAACTAGGTCTAGAGTGAGAAAGACCTGGGTACCAAATCATGCTGTGCAAGCCTGGGCAACCTGCCTAACCTCTCTGGGCCTCAGTTTCCTTTCCTGTAAAATAAGCAGGCCAGCTTCTAGCTCTACCTCTTGCTCCTATGATGACCTAAGTCAATCTAAAAATATTTACACAACAAAGACAAGGTTAGAGGCAGCCTGGCATAATGGATGAAGAGTCAGGAGGACCTGGGTTCTAGCTCCTCCTCTGCACACACTGGCTGGGAGACCTCGAGCAGGTCCCTGCCTCTTGGTGCTCTGAGCCAGTGGGATAAAACTCAGATAGAAACAAGACAACTCAGCCCTACATGAGGATCTCTGCAGGCTCCATATTGACTTAGAAAACCACGAATTAACCTTATGTTCTGCTGTGTTTGGATTTATTTTGTAAGATTGGATTGTTACCTATTTCCCAATTACATTTAATCTGGTTTGGCAGCACCAAAGCACACTCCTTTGCCGCCTCCAACTGACCAGTGATTCATTTCTTGATACCTAAAAGGTCAAAGAGCCCAGATTCTGGATGCCAAAGAATGGTGAAGGCCAAGTTCAGCCGGCCTCCTTCAACAAATGGGCAGCATTGAGGGGGAGATGTGGATTACCTGGGCTCTCCACCTTCTGCTCTCCCAGGCTTCCCTGACCCTCTCTGTCAGTCTCCAAAACATCTACCATCATCTGACACTCCGGGCATGCCCCTAGTTGGTGTGGTGCAGTACGGGGCAAAGACGGTCGGCAAGGTTAGGCTTCAAATGCCACCTCTGAAAATGATGAGCTACGGGACCGTGAGCACCTGTGCGTCCACTGACAAGTCTCATCTCCTCTGAACCTTGGTCATTGCATCTGTAAAATAGGCTACCTCCCCAGTGGGGAGTTGTGAGAATGGGATCCCCGTAAGCTCCAAGTGTCTGCTAGTAGTATTTCTCTTTAGCTCAGGGTGACTTGCCTTGCAATTGACCCTGGAAGAGGTGGGTTAAAACAAGCCAGACCTTCCTGCCAAGAGCTCACAATTGTGACAGGAAGGAAAATATCATCACTTTAATGAAAATGTGCCGCCACCCCCATCATGAGGGTTACAGAGGGAAGGAAAAACGCACTCGCTGAGAACTCTCATTGCTTGGTCGTGGGTCAGTTACACATCCGCCAGGGGATCTGCAACAAGAAGGGTCCTGAGAGGGTGAAGGGTCTACTTCATTCACTTTACAGATAGGGAAACTGAGGCCTGAGCCAAGATCTAGGCCTATTCTTCTGACTCAGAATCCAGCAATTCTTTCCTTTGTACCCAACTGCCTCCCCTTCTCATGGAGGGATCTCACTGCAATGCCACTGTGGACAGGGTGGTGGTATGGCGCCCAGAGGTCCATGGAAGCCGCGCTCTCCAGAACGTGGATGGCAGTAAGGTTACAGCTGGACAGCTGGCAGTGACTTCAGGATACCACTTAGCCTTCATTTGAAGTTTTTACCAGTATCTTTAGAGGCAGATTGGTGGGAATGGATAAATTGCTACCCTGGAAATTAGGAAGACGCGGGTTCAAATTCCACCTTGCAAAGCTACTGGTTGTATGACACCGGACCAGTTTCTTAAGCCTCTACAAGATGAGAGGGGTCGACTTAGTGACACCCCAAGGTCATCTCCACTGCTCAATCTATGACCCTATCACCTCCACCTTTACATCATCTTCATCCAAATATATTCCATCCCCTTCTCCCATCCATGGAAGGATCCCTGACAACAAATAACAGGAGAGGAAAGGAGAGGAGAGGAAGAAGGGAAAAGAGGAGAAAAGAAGAGAAAAGAAAAGAAAAGGCAGTTAGGTAAAACCAACCAATTCACCAATGGAAGAGTTAAGACTATTCCCTCCCTTCTTTGGGTCTACACTCCTTTCCTTTCTTTTTTGGTAGAGGTGGGGGACTATGGGTATGGAATACATTATCGAAGTCAGATAATAAACTGAAAATAATAGCAATAGGCAGGTGACAAGGGTAATGTGGTATATTATATTAGAAAAAGCATTAGCCTCTGGGTCAGAAGAAACCTGGGTTCAAATCCATCTTGGTGACCGCCATTTAACTTCCTAATCTGCTAAATGAAAAGAGTGGACCAGTCCAACCCTGAGGATCAAAGTCCTAGAGCTAGAAAGGGGCTCTGTTTAGTTCAACCCTCCCAGGAAATGGGTAGCCCAGAGCAAAGAAATGACTTGTTCCAGAACACAAAGTGTAATAAGCATCAGAGCCCCGTGGACATTTAGCACGAGCTCTCTGGCCCTCAGTTTCTTCACTCTCAAAAACACATAGAATACAATCACTATCTGCAGACAGGGAGGAAGGGGCAAGGCTGCCATGAGAAAAGCATTTGGTCTCAAGCAATACACCATGAATGGAAGCTGTTATTCGGGAGGTAGGCAAGGGTTGGCTAGAAAGCCTCAAGCCCAGAGCTCAGCCCCTCATAGAAGCAACTGGTGGTACAACGGATAAAAGAGCTGGGCCTGGAATAAGGAAGTTCACTCATTTTTTTCAATCATGTCCAACTCTTCGTGACTCCATTTGGGGTTTTATTGGCAGAGATGCTGGAGTGGTTTGCCATTTCCTTCTCTGGCTCATTTTACAGATGAGGTAACTGAGGCAAACAGAGGGAAGTGACTTGTCCAAGATCACACAGCTAGTAATTGAGGTCACATTTGAACTCAGGTTCTCCTGATTCAAGGGCCAGCATTCTATCCACTGAGCCACCTTAGCTGTCCCAGAATAAGGAAGATCTGAGTACAAATCTGACCTCAAAACACTTACTAGCCAAGAGAATCTTGGAAGAAACTTAATCATTGTCTGCCTCAGTTTCCCCAACTGTAAAATGGGAATAATAGCAGCACCTTCCTGGAAGGGTTGTTGCAAAGCTCAAATGAGATAATAATTGTAAAGCACAATTATTTATTATTTATTAGCACTTATTATTAGCTCAATGCCTGGCACACAGCAGGTACTACAGAAATATTGATTTCCTTCCCCCTTCCTCCATCTTGGGGACCCATCTCAACTGCCTGTGCCAATACCAACATCCAGTAACCGAAGAAAGGTGAAATGAGTCGCCCCAGGTCACCCAGGCAGTGCCAGCCACAGGATTTGAACCCAGGTCTTGCTTTCAAGGCCCGCACACTGCCTCTCATATTATAATCATTATCACCTATTTCCTCTGGACTGCAAGGTCCCTCACGCATGACAACCTCAGGATCCAGAAACAAGGTCAGAAAAGACTAGTGATGTTATTTTAAAAATCAATGCAAAATGAATGACCGTGGTTAGCAGCGCAGGGAAGCAGCCCAGCGTCAGGGCAGAGGTGCTGACGAGGCCGTTTGAAAGCAATCATTCTGTGCTAAGCCCTCAGGGACATGCCACACTGAGGTATGAGGGAGGGTAACAGAAGCAGGGACCCATGGAAATGTTTTGTGGCATGACAGCATGTTGTCTGGGGTTCCTGAAGGTACTTAAAGTGCTTTCAGTTACCTAGCTGGCAGAGTGATAGAACTCTGGGGCCTGGAGTCGAGAAGACCTAAATTCAAATTAAGACAACAGATACTGACTAGCTGCGTGACCCTGGGCAAGTCACTTAACCACTACCTGCCTCAGTTTCCTCATCTGTAAAATGGGAATGAAGCTAACAACAGCTGCCCTCCAAGGTTGTTGCGATGCTCAAATCAGCTAATATGCACAAAGTGCTTTGTAAGCATTATCTAAATGCAAGCAAACACGGTCACTATCATCAGATGGAAGAGGGGCTAGCTTTTTCTCCTTGGCTTCAGAAGGCAGAACTAGAAGAAAAGGGGGGAAACTGAAAAGATTGAGTATGGAAATGTTTAACATGATCACATATGTATAACCTATATCAGATTTCTTCCCATCTTGGGGTGGGGGAAGGGAGAAAAATTTGAAACCCCAAATCTTGAAATTCCCAGTTGAATGCAACTGGGAAATAAGATATACAGGCAATGGGGTATAGAAATCTATCCTGCCCTACAAGAAAATTGAAGGGGAAGGGGATAAGACAAGGGAGGGGGAGATAGAAGGGAGGGCAGATTAGGGGAAGGGGTATTCAGAATGCATCCCATCTTGGGGTGGGAGGAGGGACAAGATGGGGAGAAAATTTGGAACTCAAAATCTCGTGGAAGTGAACGTTGAAAACTAAAGATAAATAAATTAATAAAAAAGTAAATGAGGAGATAGAGGAAAAAATAAATAAATGTTGAAAACTATTTTTACATGTAAGTGGACAGAAATAAAATACTATTTACATTTTAAAAAGAGAGAGACTGAGGTTCCACGCAAGGAAAAACTTCCTAAGTAGGAAAGGTTCCTCTCAATGGAATGAGAGGCGCTAAGTTCTCTCCCTGGAGGTCACCCAGAGGGGATCAGATGACCACTTGGTCAGGTAAGCTGATTCTGGTTCAGGTATGTATTGGCATAAATGCTTTCCTAAGTCCCTTCCAGCTCAGAGACTGAGACTTGGAAGCCTGTCCAAGATGGCAAGGCTGGTCCAGTTAGTGGGAAATTCCCCATTACTGGGGAGGATGCTGCAGAAAGGGGATGACCTCTGATTCCCCTGCCAAATGAGAGATTCCATGACTGAAAGACAAGGGCCCAGCCAGGTGAGTAGGTGATCATGGAAAAATGAGGGTGGTCCACACAGACTTGAGAAGAAAAGGGCCAGACTTGGTCATGTCTCCACCACTGCCCGGAGGAGATGGGGCCCTGACCAGCCAATGGGAAGACCCCAACACTTCCACAAATGGTACCACCAGCTAGTAAGCCCTAATGACAAACTCCATTCCAGTCTCCCCCTGTAGGGATGTCAGGGATCCGAGTTACCAGGCAACCTTCTATTATTAATGAGGCTTTTACTAGAAGACTCTGGTGGGAAAGAGAAAGTGCTGAGGAACCCCACCTTTGCAACCTACTTAGTGCCTGTATTTCTACCTAGATTGCAATTTAACCATCACCAAATCTTACAATTGAAAGGAAGCCCAGAGGCCGTAGACTCCAACTCCTCCCAGAACAAAAATCTCCTCTGCAATATGACTGAAAAATGATCGGCCAGGATCACTGCGCCCATGGCCCTCCCAGGCAGCCCACGCCACCGTAAACTAGCTCTATCATGCTAAACAATAGCTAGCACTCACATAGCGAAGCTCTTTACACATACCTCATTTGATGCTCATGACAATGTGGAAAGGTAGGTGCTAGTATTACCCCATCTTACAGATGAGGAAACTGAGGCAAACACAGGTTAAATGACTTGCCCAGGGCCATATAGTTAGGCTGGATTTGAATTCAGGTCTTCCTGACTCTAGGTCCAGCTGAGACCTGAGAAGCAAGTCTATGTGCTTTTCTGTGTCCATGAAACAAAAAAGGGTTAAGAAGCCCTGTTCCTGCTCTCCTGTTTCTCCAGATTGTTCCCTGGATGCCATCCTAGACTCTGTGATTCTCTAGAAGCAGCTTAAGATTATTGGGCAACTGACTTGTCCAGGGTCACACAGCTAGAGATTGGGGCAGGATCTGAACTCAGGTCTTCCTGACTGCAGGTCTGGTGCTCCCTCCACTTTGCCACTAGACTGCCCCAAGCAGAGCATTGGACTTTCAATCATGAAAACCTGAGTTCAGATCCTACCTCAAGAAACATACTAGTTATCTAAAATGAATGAATGAGGGAATGAAGCATTTATAAATCACTTACTGTATGCAAAGAACTGTACTAAATGCTGTAGACACAAATATTAAGACAACCCCTGCCCTCAAGAAGCTCACATTCTAATGAGAGATACAATACATATGGAAGGTTTCAACTTTAAGGCAGATGGAAAGATCCCATGGTCCTTCAGCTCAAGGGTAAGGTAGGCGTTAATGTTTCTTCTTTAATGTTGATTCCACTAAGAAAATCCTATCAGTTTCTGATATAGACCCTTGGCAGGTCATCTGACCTCTCTGGGTCTCAGTTTCCTCATCTGTATAATGGGGATAATGATAGCACCTGTTTCCAGGGTTGTCGTGCAGGTCAAATGAGATATTGTTTGTAAAGTGCTTTGCAAACTTCAAAGCCAGAGAACAGCTCCAGATGCTATAATTATTATCATCATCACTATCATCGCCACTACAAGCTTTGCGAACCTTAAAGCATTATATAATTGTATATTATATTATATAGATTTCAAGATGGAAAGGACCTTAGAAATCATTTAGTCTAATCCTCTCATTTTACAAAGTAGGAAACAGACCCAGAGAGGTGACTTGTCCAAGGTCATCCAGCTAGATGGCAGAGGAGTCAGGATTTGAACCCATGCGCTGCTACTAACTAACATTCTTTACCTATCCTGGGAAGCAGTTGGTTTTGAAAATGCTTAGGTCCAGGCAGCTAGGTGGCACAGTGAATAGAGCACCGGCCCTGGAATCAGGAGGACCTGAGTTCAAATCCACCCTCAGACACTTGATACTTACTAGCTGTGTGACCCTGGGCAAGTCACTTAACCCCAATCGCCTAACCAAAAAAAAAAAAAAGAAAAAGAAAATGCTTAGGTCCCACAGATTTGACACTTTAGGAACAGCTGAAAACAAAGTCCCAGAGCAGAGCCAATTTGGACAAACCTTCATCATCGATCCATTTAAGGGTGATCGGCTGTTGCTGGTGTAAACTACACATTTCTCTCACTTCGTCACAAAGTTCGTCATAGGTCATAGATGCATCCAGGTTGGTTATCAGCATGTCCCTGGGATAGAGAGGAAAAGGAGAGATTTTGAATATAAGAATATTCCTCGTTTGAGTCAGAGCCCTTTCTTGGAAGGGGCATCATGGGCACCTTTTCGAGCATGCCACTTATGGCTCTGAAGTGTAAATCCCCAACAAAAATATTTATTATAATAACAATTATTTAGCCATTCACTTTTGTGGAGTGATTTAACATTTCATACAAATGGTACCAGAAGAAACACAATGTTTTTGAAATTTATGGAGAATCTGTCCCTCTACACACCTGGGTGATACATGCCATTATTATCAGATTCATTTTACAGACAGGGAAACTGAGGCTCAGATAGGCTACAGGTAGTATACTACAGGTGCAGGACTTACAGTCAGGGAGGCCCTGTCTTTGAAGCCTGTAGGCTCCCACTTTTGCCATTAAACTGGGAACTCCTTGAGGGCAGGGCCCCTATTTTTGGCTTTCTTTGTATCTCCTGCATTTAGCACAATGCCTGGCACATTGTAGATGCTTAATTGATAAATGCTTCTTAACTGGTTGACTCAAACTCTTTGCTTCCTAAATCAAAGGATGAGAAGGATTACAAGAAATTCAACAGATCATGCTTGTGAGCTTTATTACCACAGGCACATTGCCACTTGGTGAGCCTCAATTTCCTTAGCTCTAAAATGGGTGTATTACTTGCAGGACGTCTGTCTTATGTTGTTGTGGGATTCAAATAAGATAACGAAAGAGAAGGAAAACAATAAACCTGATGATCACAATGACATAAATGGAAATAATACAAAAAAAATGAATACTAGGTAATTATGATAACCAAGGTTGGCCCTGGAAAAAGGGAAGAAAATGAACCTCCTTCCTCAGTCCTTGTGGGGTCAGGATGGGATGATCCAATCATGAGCTAGGAGGAACCTCAGACATTCCAGTCCAACACCCTCATTTTACATAAGGGGTGGAGACTAGGAGTATGGAAGGCTGCATTGGGCATCAGATACAAGGAATAGGGACAGCACCAGCCCAGGAACCAGGAAGACCTGAGTTCAAATCCAGCCTCAGACCAAACACTTGACACTTACTAGCAGTGTGATCTTGGGCAAGTCATTTAACCCCATTGCCTTGCAAAAAAAAACAAACAGACACAAGCAATACTCTTTGTGGCCAGGTATGGCTTCACTCCTAAGGGGAGGGAGGAGGAAGATTGGAAATGAAGGTGATTAAAGAACAGAACAGAGTCAGATGTGATCGAAAAATGACGGACAACGTGCCAGGCACTATACCAAGCACTTCGCAAATATTATCTCAGTGCCTCCTCCCAATATCCCTGTGAGGTAAACACTACTATTATGCTTATTTTACAGATACGAAACTGAGGCAAACAGGGTAAGTGACTTGCCCAGGGTTACTCAGCTAGTAAGTGTCACACCTGAACTCAGGACTTTCTGACTCCACGCCTGACGCTCTATCCACCAAACCACGTAGCTGCCACTCAACAGGACCCAGGGCGCAGCTTGAAACATATATTTTTTTGGATATGGTCAATGCTCGATTTTTTTTTCCTCAATCATGCATGTTTCAATAATTTCCTTTCCTTTTTTTAGTGGGTGGGAGAGTAGGAGAGATGAAAGATTCTGATTTGTTTTGTTTTTGTAATTAAAAAAAAAAGCTGAATTTTTTTTAAAAAAACTCCATCAGATGTAGATAGGCAACTTATCTCTAATTTGTAGCCTTGGGGCATAGGCTGCCACAGTTTTCTTCTTCATCTCCACTTTTGGAATCTACAAATCTCCAGAATTTAAAAGTCCCAGGTAACAGAGAATCATCCCTATACAAGATGAACTTTGACTAATGCAAGAGCCAGATAATGACCCTGGGAGAAAAGGGCCTGGCTTTGTTTAGGATTTGTTTCATCACCAAAGGGAGAGGCAGTCCCAGGAAGGAAACTCCCTTCCCACAGCCAGCATTCTCAGACACCTGCCCCTGGCACTAGGAGGTTAAGTGACTGGCACAGAGCCACCCGGCCAGTAAAGATCAGAAACAGGCCTGGAATCTAGAAAAGTCTTTGCTACTGTCAAATGCCTCAATATCAGAAAGTGATCTGATTTCATTCGTGGAAAAGACATTGAAGAAGAGACAGTATAGTCTGTTTTGCTGTTTCACCCTAAGGACCACGGGACCTGTCCAGAGAGTGGCTCCCTGGGCCTGGAATCAGAAAGACCCAAATTCAAATCCAGCCTCAGACAATGACTCCCTATGTGACTGGGACTGTTGGCCTCAGTTTCCTCAACTAAAAAGGGGGGAATAATAATAAAACCTACATTTCCCAGGGTTGTTGGGAGAATGGGAGAATCACATAAGGTATTATTTGTTATATATATATACATACATATATATATATATATATGTATATATATATATATATATATATATATATATATTTAGTATAACACTTGACACATAGTAAATACTATATAAATGCTTATTTCCCTCCCTTAACTTCTCTTACTTGAAGCTAAAACTTTCCCTAAGGGTTAGAATGTGAGCTCCTGGAGAACAAGGACCGGTCCTACTTTTTGCCAGTGTTTTGCACACAGTAGGTACTTAATGTCTTAAGGTCCTTTTCATTCCCAGTCCAGCTCTCTATCCACAACCCCTACCCACTCTGCTTCTCATTAATTCCATTTTACAGAGCAGAAAACTAAGGCTCAGAGAGGTCAATTTCTTTCTGGGTAAAAAGGATTTAAAGGGCAGTTAAGTACAGTGGAAGAGAGATTAAAGTTGTTTGGCCCCAGAGGACACAGCCATGCATGCAAAAGGCAAAGGTGGGCTAAGAGTCAAGGGGAGCTGCCCCAAAGAAGACTGGGCTGCCCCACTGAAGGTCTTCAACGAGATTTGCTGACCACTTGTTGGTACTGGAGATCTCTTTGGTCAAAGAATGGGTTGGGCCAGAGCAGGGATCCTTAAACTGAGATCTATTTTGTTTTAATATTTTGAGAACTCTATTTCAATCTAATCGGTTTCCTTTGCAATCCTATGCATTTTATTTTAGACAATTATAAACATGATTCTGAGAAGGGCCTAACCTCTTACCAGATCATCCAAGGGGTCCAGGACACAAAAAGGTAAAAAATCATGGACCCCAAAGTCCCTTCCATTTCTCATACTCTGTGAGCCTATGAAAATGAGGGGCACAGCTGGGTGGCATAGTGGATAGAGCTTTGGGCCTGGAGTTGGAAGACCTGAGTTCAAATCTGGCCTCAGACACTCACTTACTACCTAGGCAAGTCACCTAATCCTGCTTGCCTCAGTTTCCTCATCTGTAAAATGAGCTGGAGAAGGAAATAGGAAAACCACTCCAGTATCTCTGCCAGAAAAAAAAAAAACCAAAGAATTGGACACAATAATGATGAAAATGAGGGCAGCTAGAAGAGATGAGGAGCTAGGTCCCTACTAGCTCTAAATCCAAGCTCCCACGATGACCAATCAGAAGCAGAATCCAGACCCCTCCTCATCCTGATTCTGTTCAGTATTCTATCTACTAAATGATGCTGCCTCTCCAATAATCCAGCTCCAGTAACACTTATCTGGCCCTGACCATGTTCCACATCCTGCCATGGAGCTGTTAAGTTGCGACACCTCCCCATCCCCCATTTATTCCAAACAGAAACCAAACGGCATGAGAGTCGTGTGCAGGCTGGGGCATCTGACTGCACTCACTGCTCAGCACCAAGGACCACGGCACCCCAATGATCCATATGCAGGGTCCAAGTGAAGGAGGTAAAGGGGAAATAGGATAAGTAAAGTCATCAGGGTGTAGATGATCAGAGGTCCTCCTTCATCTCAGCTCTACAAACACACTTCTGAGACATAAGCAGTCTTCTTTATTCAAAGGTGCCAGCTAATCCCTACCCGGGTGGTTAGCAGGCCATGAACAGGAAAGGAAGTCACATCAAGAGCAAAGGAATAGCGCTGAGAAGGGATTAAGTCTGAGTCAGGGTGTCTGCTTAAATGTCTTCGAGGAGAATCGTAATAATATCACTGACTTGGAGCTGGAAGAGAGCCCAGGGAGGTCAGGAGGCCAACCCCTCTCACAGTACCAAGGAGGAAACTGAGGCCCAGAGGTTACAAAGGCACGCAGCTGAGGTGAGAAGCGTAATCTCCCAAGCCCCTGCTACCTACCAGGCCGTGGGGACCCCAATCTGACAAGGAAAAGGGAAAGTGGTAACACATATACTGATGAGAAAATACTAAGTATATACAAAGTGATTTCAAAAAGGAGAGGGGTGAAATCAGGAAAGACTTCTAGGAGGAGGTGGTCCATAAACAGTGCTGTGAAGGAAGCCTGGGATTTGTAGAGGTTGAGGTGAGGAGGAACAGCACTCCAGGAATGGGAATGTCCTGGCTGGAGAAGAGGATCCTAGCCACTCGGAGTAGGAGGGAGAGGAGTCATAAGCCCCCTGGGGAGGGGGCAGTTTGATTTCTGCAATTCTTTTAATTCACCTCAATTCAAGAATCTTTCCAATCTCAATAAAGTTTCCTGAAACATTCATGAAGCTGGGCACTGGGGCCTACATTCTACCACAGGGAGGTTTGGGGTGAAAGGGGACAACGGTGCACAGAAACACACACAAAGTAAAAGCAGGATAATGTTGGGATAGAAGGTGAAATGAATTTCCTAAAGCAGCGGTCTGACCATGTCAATTTGATAAATTCCAGTGACTCCTTGGTACTGAGGATCGAACAGAAAGTCATCTGTTTTACCAGCCCCCTAGATACTACTGCCCTCTAGAATTCTGATCCAGCCAATCTACTTGTTTACTCTCTTGTTTACACAACACTCATCTCCTACCTCCATGCCTTTGAACTGGTCCTGCCCCCATGCCTGGAATGCCCTTTCTCCTTCTTCACTTCCCAGAGTCTAGCTCTTCCTTTCTGCAAGATCTTCTACACAAGCATTTCCTTATTGCCCTATTACTGCCCTTCCTTCCCTCCTAAACTACCTTAGATCTAAC